TTTTCAGCTAATTTAGTAGCTTTGTGACTTAGTACAGAGTTGGGTAGTTACTTGGGTAGTTACTTTTAGTCATCACTGTCATTTTTATACTGTATATATAAATTCACTATTTAACAGAGTCCCTCCTGTTTACATTTAAGGTAAGCTAAGCTAATGTAGCCTACCTTGGTGACCCCTACTGGATGTGTGCCTTGTATGCCTCCACCAGTATTTGAACCCCAATTGTTCATAATTACCATTTTGCATGTCTGCATTTTTCTGATTTTGTGATATCGGCCTTTGTATTCACGTGTGAAACTCAACTGTCCGTATCACAGGTGCTTTGAAACAAGCTGGTTGGGTGAGATTTCTTTACAAACCTGTTTCTTCTCATGCTAGAAAACTCCTCCTCTGTCACCTCCTTTAGCACTCTCTAATCAGTAGGAAAGAAAACCAGAGTCGACTTCTCCTCTGTGTGGACAATAAAAACTAATACCTGCTGAAATTTTCTCTTCCAAAACTCTCTTACTAACTTTTCTCCTTGAAGAGATCAACAGAGCTTCATCATGGCAGTTAGCTGCAGACAGATTCTGGGTTTGGTCTCAGCCATCATTGGTGTTCTAGGGACAATAGTTATCTGTTTCCTCCCATTGTGGAAAGTCTCAGACTTCATTAGTGCTGACATTGCCACTACTTATGTGATCTTTGAGGGTTTGTGGGTGAACTGCATTCTGCTGACTAAAGAGATGGAGTGCAAAGAGTATGATTCTACGCTCACCTTACCTCAAGACCTGCAGGATGCCAGAGTGCTCATCGTTTTTGCTATCATCATCCAGTTCTTTGGGATTATGCTTGGTGTAGTTGGGGCCAAGTGCACCAACTTTATACCAGACGCAAGGCGAAAGACCAAAGCGGATATAGCTTCTGGAGTGTTGTTTCTCATTGCAGCTAGCTTGGTGGCCCTGCCTGTCCACTGGACCACACGCACCATTGTTAATGATATGTTCAACCCTGACCTGGCCAACGATCAAAGGAGGGATCTGGGAGCTTCACTCTTCATCGGCTTGGTGTCCGCAGGACTGCTATACCTGGGAGGAGCCCTTCTCTGCTGCTCCTATTTCTGCAGGATTGAGACAGAATGTGACGTTAAATCTGCACATACTAACACTAAACAACAACGTTCATCTAGACAGCGTTCTACTAGAAACAAGAAAAAGGTTTCATGATGGTTTCACTCTCTGTTTGACTGAGTCCACTGTTAACATCAGGTAATAAAGTCTGAAATATGAGTAAAAATTTGTAGGAATCTTT